TAAACATTTTCAGCAGATGTTATCACGATGGAATATTGACAAGTAGATTAGCCCTCTATAATTCCAATTATCTCTATAAATACATGCTAATTATTCATGTTTGCTGCAATAATCTTTAATATTACATTATAATACCAATAAAGTTTCTCAATTTGAATTTTGGTGGGCATAGTAACATCACAACAAATGAGAGTTTAGAACCTTAACACACCTCTGGGTGCCTTTACAGAGATTTGTTCTTTGCATTGACAGAGGGACACACAATATCTCCATTGGAGGGGACTCCCTATAAAGGAATGTTCTTTCAATGGTGTAATTGTTACCTTCTTAATCTTATTATGTTTATTTCTATATTAATCAATGTATAGGATTTTCTGTAAATGTATTCATTTAAAAAAATTTCCTGAGACTTTTTCTTAACTCCACGGTTTGGCACACAAATAATGCATGCATGGATTCGTGTGTCCCACGTAAATTGCTTCTACTGACATCAATTGATAGTTATTCATGTGTCCCTCATTCCCTGCTGAGTTCTACCTGCACCAAAGACATCAAAATCTTTAAAGTAATACCGTCATGTCATCTTCACGTTTACTCAGGATACCAGGTGACACAGGGTCTGGTGGTTTCAGAACCACCTTTTACAGAAACGTCGCTTCATCATATATGCTGTATTCTCATTTATGGTGCAAAATGTAAGGACACTATGGTTGTAAAGGACCAGAAATCCTTTCTATCAATAATTTTGCTAATAAGGAGGCAATTTGCTTTTTACAGATAGATGTCTATTCTTTGAAAAATTAACTTAGAATTTTACTATCATATAATCGTGTATAGTTAGTCTTCAGGACAGTGCTTATTATCTGTGTACATCTTCTTAGATATCTATCTATGGGTATGAACAATACTATTTATGTATTTGTTTATTTGTTCATTTATTTATTTATTATTGGAGACAGAGTCTCACTGTTGCCCAGGCTACAGTGCCATAGCATCAGGCTACATCACAGGAGCCTCAAATTCTACCCTCATTCCAGCCTCAGCTTCCTCAGTAGTGGGGACTAGAGGCACCTGCCGCCACGCTTGGCTGGTATTTCCACTTTTTGTACAGATGGGGTCTTACTCTTACTCAGACTGGTCTTGAACTCCTGAGCTCCAGGGACCTTCCTGCCTTGGCCTCCCAGGGTGCTAGGATTAGGCATGAGCCCCCTCACCCGGCCTAAATAACCTTTAAGACACTTGTTATAGGCTTGTCTGTCCCTATTTGATCCTATGGCCCCGACTTCCCAACACACGCCGTTCCTCTCAAGTGATGTAAACATCTTTGTTCTAAAATGCTGCATAAAAGAGAGATTAGTTAAAGACCATTCTCATTTTAGGCTTTTGTAAAAAGAAGAATGTGTGCCCTTATGGACTCAAATTTACCTTCTTTTCAGTCATATTTATTCCCAAACTTCCCCTGGCCTGCTTTTGGTCACCTCATCTTTATCTCACATTTTGATTAGTACAGTGATTAAATACAAGCTGCCTAATCTTGTTCTTCACCGACCAGACCACTTTCTTTGCCCCAGCGTCTGAGAGTTGTTTGCCTTCTGTGTTGCTGAGTTACGCCACACCTCCTTTCAGATTTTTCTGTTTCGGGTCCAGCTGAGCTCTCTGCAAAGGGGCTGCTCTGGTGCCCCCATGCCTGGTCCTGCCGTCCCTGGTGCTCCGCACCAGCCCAGCTCTAACACTTCACCTCTGTCACGCATGTGGAGCCCAGCTGTCTCCCGCACCAGCACCTGGCGTGCGTCAGCTGCCAGCACAGAAATCCCTGCAGGGGTTTCTCCTTCCCGTGACATGAAACCACTGTTTCCACAGCAACTTAATTACTCTTCTGTTTCAGGTGGATTATTGCATCTTGATGAGAGAAATGATGCAATGTGTGGAAAGCACTTGGAATCCAGTCTTACCCACTTGTCAGCTTCTAGAAGTGTAGAATAACAGGTTTAAATGACTTCACTAAAAATTGTCCTTGCACACGTGTGTGAGCTTTGCACTCTCAGCTTCTAAAAGGCTGGACACAGTGTCACCTGGAGAAGGAGGAAGAGAGGACAGGTCTCCCCACACTTCAGATCCTGGGGTCTGCATATAACTGCTTCCTACATCTCACCATATTAAGCATTGGTTAGAATGACATTTTTGTGTTTTTTAATATTTTCCAAAAACTTATTTATAATTTCTGAGGGGGACAGATAAACATACTAGGTTTTTTTTTTTTTTTTTAAACAGGGGATGATTTGAATTTAGAGAGAGAATTCAAGGGAGAAAATAAAAATAAGTCACTACATAAGTCCTGCATTTAAATCAACATGAAATAGATAACTAGACTAAATAAATGAAAATACATGTAACCTAAACAATCATGCCCTCCTAATAATTTGAAATAAAAAAGCACATTGTATCTTACATGTGAAAATTGAGAATTTAGTAAATGAAATTGAATATGACTTACTGGGTATTCCATTTTTTATTTTAAAACATTTTCTCTCTTCTTTTTGGGCGTTTTCGTGCTCTGGATATCACTTGCTCTCTGGGATGCTGCTGTATACCTGAAGTATCCCACAGTGACAGTGATGTGGTATCACCTGAAATTAGATTTTAATATTCCCAACTGCTCGTCAAAATTTTCCACTGAGTATTTTAATTTCATGTATTTTTCAGGATGAACTAAAATCCTAAGTGATATGTGGAGTATGGTTTGGTAATCTGTGGTAATAGAGAAAGAAAAGAATAAAATGTATTTGTAATCTATATTCTAAAGTTAAAAGAGAGGGAGATTTTAGACTTATACTGATATAACAAGAGACATAAGTGGTTGTATCTTTTTCATATTTTGCAGTTTTATTTTCTATAAAAAGCCTCAAATGGCTTGAAAATCTGTGTTAGAAATAAAGATATTGCTGCTGAAAGCTTACAGTATTTTATACTTTTCAAAATACAGCCATTTAGAGAAAAATCTATTTCAACTTAAAAAACTTCATGACACTCCCCATACCTACTCAGCACACCGGGGATTGATAAGGTCCATGGCTTGAAATTATTCCATTAGTTTACATACCTGGAGTTTCCCTTCTGACCCAGATTGTCCTGCCTGGTGCTCTCAAATGAGCAACCCACCAGCAGGAGGTGAAGATAACTCTCTCTCACCTTTTCAGGATCCAAGGGCAGGTGGAGCAGGGTGTGCCTGGTCTGGGAGGGGTAGAGTGTGTGTCCTGCTGGTTCCCACATCAAGGAAGTGGAGGGCCTCTACCCTTAGCTCACTGAAGGAGAAAGTGCTTCTTCACCTGGGCCTCTTGACCCACCGAGTTGATTTCACTTTGCCTTTTGCATAAATCAGATCTAAAGAGCCCGGTGAGGTGGTGGTTGCGAGGATTGGGTATAGTACAGGATGGGTCTGGCTCCAGGGCCAGCATATAGACAGGGCAGCAGGGTGTGTTCTGTGATCCCTTCTCGCATCTCCCAGAGCTGCCTGTGCAGACTCTGTAGGCTCCAGGGCCTGCGTCAGGAACAGCACTGTGTCGGCTGTGCTGGGTCCCAAGTTTGCACTTACCTGTCTTGAAGTTCTTAATCTTTTATCTTTGAGCTTGTATGTTTTTGCTTTTTTAAAGTTAGATCTAATGTGACCATGGAGCAAACATGGAGAGAGAAAGTCTGCTGGCTGCAGTCGCCCCGTGGGACCAGCCCATCAGCAGCACAGGCCACCTGAGGTCTCACTGTGCACAGGAACCACTAGGGTCACTGCCCTTCCTGGGCATGTCCTGCCCACCTCCTACGGTTTCTGTCTCTGGATGGACTTAAGTCCTGCCCACCTGCTCCCTACCCCCAGCCTCTGTTCTCAGAGTCCCAATTAGCTAATCTGATAATCGCACTCATGTTAGCATTAAGTACAAAAACTAAAGCATCAAACATCCAGGGTCCCATAAAGAACAATGAGCTGGTGTACTCCAGGGAGGCCCATCTGCCTGTTTGTTCAAAATATGCTAGACTGATGGAAGAGATATTGGCCAATCGTTAGGTCTTTAGCACCATTTCAAATTCATTTTTTGATAAAATTAATTAACACATTCAGCATTGCCTTTGCTGCGTGTTTTAGATCCCCAGAACTCATTCCATTTGTAATGGAGAGATTGTGTCTTTGATGAAGCAAAATTGATTTTTGCATCTATAAATCCTATAGCTGCATATTTTGTTTGTTCATGGGAAGGGTTTATAGAGAGAGGTTTCAGCCTTAGATAATATGGAGTTAGTTTATTTGATATTTTAGTCTGAATTCTAGTATTATTTGTTGATGGTTAAAAACAATATCTGTGAATCCCTTAATGAAAGGCAACTCATGTAGGAAGGTGTGGGATTATAGCTTTAGAGGGTGTAAATACTGGTCCTGTTTAGCTAGGAGCAGACTGTGAATGAGAAATTTTGTTCTCTAGAGACAGATAGGGAGGGAAGGAGTGGGGGAGAGAGAGAGAGAGACTGAGAGACTGAATATAAACCGATGGGCTTCGTATTACGTTTTTCTGGAAGAGTAGAATTCTCAGATTCATACTTAAATTTTTTTCATAAAGCCTGCTAAGTATGCTTGAAAAAGACAAAAACGAGTGGACAGTATCATTGAGTTTGGCATGTAATAGGAAACATGATTTATAAGAATCTTTTACAATGTCTCTGTACTGGTATTGATGTGTTTTATACTAAATGTGAAAGTAACAAATTTTAGTACATGAAGAAAAACCTCATTCACTGCATGATGGAAATGAAATCAATATTTAAGGATTAGCTCATAACTCTGATTTGAAGTTACAACAAATCTTCTCGGTAGGACAACTAGAGAGGAAGGTAAAGTGTTTGCTCATTTCTACAAGAGAACAGCAATGGAAAAAAGAAGAAAAAACCTTCATTACTTAACAGCGAGACTATTGTCCATCTTGAGTAATCCCCCATGTCTGTCTTTGCGTTCCCAGCTGTGGGTCTTGCTGCGTGCCAAGAGCCCACCGTGCCCAGCAACGGCATCAAAATAGGAGATCGGTACATGGTGAACGACGTGCTGTCCTTCCAGTGCGAGCCCGGGTACACCTTGCAGGTAGCTTTCTTTTGTGGTCTTGGTAACAGGATGGGTGCAGCTCGGTAATCTTTGGGCAACTCAAAGATGGAGCCTTTGATTTGTACCCAGACAGCAAATTTGGTTTTCCTTACTCAGTTTATGAGCCAAACTACTTATATTAAAGCATGGGTGTTGATACTTTTAATCATCATTTGGAAATAGCATTTAAATGATAAAGTACTGTTTCAAAGCAAAGCATTCTGTATTTTACATTTTTTTATTTCAAAATATATGTTCTACTAACTATGCAGAGAACATTCTGGAAGCAAAGCATTGGTACTGCCTCTTCACACCCCAATAATAGAGTCTGCTCCTGACCCAAGCTTGTACTGCTTTGCAAACTGTTTTCATTGTTCTGTTCAATAAATCATCATTAGGTGCTGACTTCATGCTGGGCAAATAAGGCATCCAAATAATAGATTTAAGTAACTTTCATGAAATGCTAAGTAGGGGGTTTATATACTTGGATAGTTTTTTTGAATAGGAAATTTTTATTAAAAATTTTATACTAATGTATTGTAAGATTACTCGTTTTTCTTTTACTTGGTTTAAGCATGAATAAGCTTATTCCAATAATTGTTTCTATCCCTTAGCACAATTCTTATATAATTCTCCATGCTGATGATAAAACTCATTTGAAACATGTATATTCCATAGTCCAGGAGAAATATGTATTTAAGCCTACTACTAATGCTTCTAATCTTCAGTTACTACAGGCAATAGGGTATTTTGGCTGTGTGTGCATTGTGACTTTGGAGCTGGCAATTTTTCTTTTTTTCTTTTTTGAGACAGAGGCTCAAGCTGTCATCCTGGATAGAGTGCTGTGGTGTCACAGCTCACAGCAACCTCAAACTCTTGGGCTTACGTGATTCTCTTTCCTCAGCCTCCCAAGTAGCTGGGACTACAGGCACCCACCATAATGCCCAGCTGTTTTTTGGTTGTAGTTGTCATTGTTGTTGGCAGGCCTGGGCTAGATTTGAACCCACCAGCTCTGGTGTATGTGGCTGGCATCCTAGCCGCTGAGCTACAGGCACTGAGCCAGCAGTTGGCAATTTTTCAAAAAACTTTCTTTTAGCCATGGTCTTTAATGACTTAAATAAAACAGCCCAAGTAAACATCAGAAAAGAGTTGCAACGACACAATGATATGACACCATTGTGTGTAAGTCAAGTTCTGCAGGTATCTCGGGGTGAATGTCTTGTCATCCTGAGCAAAGTAACAAACGGCACCTACAGCAGGTACCAAATATGGGATGTGGATACGAAACTTCATGGTTTTCCCCAGCCATCTATGCGGTGTGGATACCATACGATGTGTGCTTTAAAACTAGAGGGAATATTTGTAAAATGCCTCACAGGCTTTACAAGGGAAAAATATTATTATTGTTATTAGGAACAGATATCAATACATAGAGTAATCTTCATGACAACAAGCCTATGATACATAAAGATTGGGATGGACTTTCCAGTAGTTGCTGTAACTCTGCAAAGAGCAGCAGCAGAACTGGAGCTTCTGCTGGGGAAACTGTAGTGAGGGGCACTGCGGAAAGCTGTGCCATCTCAATAAATTTTTAACCATGCACTAACACCATTTAGGCTGGTTGTTTTTTTTTTTTTTTGGCTGGGGTTGGGTTTGAACCAGCCCACCTCTGGCATATGGGGCCAGCGCCCTACTCCTTTGAACCACAGGTGCCGCCCTAGGCTGATTCTTTAGGACACACCTTTCCTGCTTCACATGTTATGATGTAAAACATTGTAGGTCATAGCTCAAAGTTTCATGTATGTTGACACCTCAGTCTCTACCAACATGCCATGCTCATGCCTGGTTAATTGCATTATCACTGACTGAAATCATTTAAATATTATGTTCTCTCCACTCTTTCCAAATTCCCACACTGGAATACTTGCTTTTGGCCATGGATGGTCATCTTCTTTCTACTTCGTGACTATGTGACTTTGAGATATATGTTAGCTTTTTTTAGTAAATGATAGTACTACAGCCATCAGAGAAGAAAATAGAAAAGATTCTTTAATAAAGAAATATCTTGATGGCACCTGTAGCTCAGTCAGTATGGTACTGGCCATATATACCGAGGCCCGTCGGTTTGAGCCCAGACCAGCTAAAAAATACAACAATGACAACTGCAACCAAAAAATAGCCAGGTGTTGTGGCGGGCACCTGTAGTCCCAACTACTTGGAAGGCTGAGACAAGAGAATCACTTAAGCCAAAGAGTTTGAGGTTGCTGTGAGCTGTGACTCCGCAGTACTCTACCCAGGCCAACAGCTTCAGTCTCTATCTCAAAAAAAAAAAAAAAAAAAAAAGAAGAAGAAGAAGAAGAAGGAGAAAAGGAATATCTTATAATGAACTGTTTAATGTGCTGCCTAGAAAAGCAGGCCTGTGGACAGACACACTTCTGTGCCGCCCCATCAGACCAGCATTAACTCGGCTTTTCAAATGCAAACTAAGCTATTTTTTCCTCATTACAAACAACGTGAAACTTTGAGTTTGCAAGCTGATGTTTTTCATTCACACAAGCAAATAAGGATTCTGGATTTTTTTAAATTGCTAACAACTGAAAATTTTACTAAGAGTAATATATTTGGAATGTTAGTGTGCGTAAATTACACAGTAATCATGAAAACCATTGTTCTTTGCGTAATGAAGATGTGGATGTCTACAGATACATGTGCAGGGTGAGATTCACGGGTGCACATGACATCAAAAGCTAGGAAGAAATCCTAAATATTGAATGATTTATGATTTCCATCTTCTCCAGACTTGTTTTAATGTTTTTTTTAAACATAAAAAAGAAAATTCTTATTACAACTAGTAAACACAGACTCTTGTCTTCCTTCTGATGCATTACAAAAATTTTAGCTATAGTCCCTCATCTGAATTGTTTTTACCAAAATCAATAGCAGAATATGACAGATTGGTCATAAATGGCTATTTTATTGATAGTTATCAATAAATACCTATGCAGGCTTCTGCAGTTTGTGTTTATCCATATTTCAGAGAGAAATTTATTAAACATAATTCAATGGATCAGAGAATGAGTTTACACAGAGGATAAATGTTACCAGCGAAAACACCGTTCGGAATGTCCTTTGAAAATACAGTTTTCCTTCACTGTAGCTGCTTTTAAAAATATCAAGAAGTCTGAGAAAATCAGTTTTGTGGCAGTCAGACTGAGTATGAAATGTCTCCACGCACTGGGCCTCCATTTGCCACTGACAGCTGCATTAGTGCCAGTTCTTTGAGGTGTTCCCAGGGTGGCTGGGATTATTTAACATGAATTGCAGATATGTGTTCAGTTGCCTCTATCCCGATTTTAAGTGGCAAATGGAAATTCAACAGGTAAGTAAGCCTGGCAGATAAGGCCACTGGGTCACACTCAGAGAAAAAAATAGGCTGTAGAGAGAGGCCTGATTCATTCCTTTTTCCTTTAATTGTAAGAGAGATTTTAGCAGCAAGTATCTCTGAGTTTGTCCCTCTCCTGTATGATTTTTGAAAGAGGAAGACTAGAACAGATTTTGTCAAACTGAAGGTTAAGAATCAGGCATATTGGGGGGAAAAAGCTTAAAGTCAAAAACTTTATGTATTTGAATGATGATGAGGTCTTGAGTGATGAAAATTACTTTTATTGCAGGCAAGTTAATTTGATGATTGTTGAGCCTATCTAGTAATGAATGAAATGACTATTAAGTCTTTTTTTTTTTTTTTGAGATGAAGGAAGACCTGACCCATTTCTCTTCCAAATATTGTGATCATGTGACTTATAACCAGCCCAAACAAAGAAGGTTGCATATTCATACGCTGAATGTATTGCTGGCATTTTAGCCTTCTAATCAACACTTAGTATTTCCTAATCATTTTCAGCCTTTCAGACCAAAACCTATAAATTCTGATGATGGGAAACCAAAAAAAGGTATACTTTAGCCAATTCAATTAATCTTCCTTAAATATTAGGAGATGGTCTAGGCAAAAATACTGCCTATTTAAAGAAAAATTGAAAGATTTTTATTTTAGTAAAAAGTAATAATATAGTAGTAATGGTTTTTTCTGTGCTGATTCAAATTATATGATTCGTTAATAGAAATAGATTTCACAATTTCTGACTTTTTACCTTTGTCATTAAAACAAAAAGATAAAACAGACAGTATAGATCATCTCATCTTAAATACTCTGTTTTCAGTTTCATGGGTTTTATTTCCTTTTCTACCCAACAGGGCCGTTCCCACATCTCGTGTATGCCGGGGACTGTTCGACGTTGGAACTACCCTTCTCCCCTCTGCATCGGTACGACCCCCACAGGCTGGCTGCACATGTGAGATGGGTGGCCGGGCAGCCGTTCACTCTGCTCTTGGGCTGTTAGCTAGTCCAAAAGTCTGAGTGGTTTTCTCTATAGATGTTTCAGCCTCAGGGAAACTCAGTTCCTAGAAACAAAATTCAGAATTCCAAGTTACTGACGTGAGGTTGGACGGGTGGTATTTCTTTAGGGAAGGGCTTTCAGGACAGGACGTTGCCCAGACCAGAGGCTGGGAATGGTCACGCAGGTGATGCTCATTCTGTTCCATGGAGACCTTGTGCGCACAGTCCAGCAATGTTGGGGTGCTCTTGTTCTGTGCCCCCTCGTTGAGGCCCAGAGCATCACCTACCACCTGTACCATGGAGTCCAACTCAGAAATCGTTGCCTGTAGCTCAGGTGACCACAGGACCTTGTCAGGGGCTGTGCCAGCATAATCACATCAGTGAGGGAACTCTCCACACCTCGCCTCTCAGCCACTGACCTCTGCAAGTCCCTTCCCCTCCAGGTGCCTGGCCTCAGAGAGGGCCCTTATCACACACATGTTTTTTGGTCTAAGCAACAGGCTGGATGTGAGCTTAGATTTCTTCTTCACCCCTACATCTAAGCTTCCTCACTCGTGTCTAGTTTTCTGTGTGAGGGCTCTGTAGACTCTCACCTAAAACCTCCAATTTCAGCAACACTTCAACTTTATCATAAGCTAGGACTTGTCAATGCCTGACCACAGAAAGTTCTTCAGTTTCCTGCCTCCTCTGCACCTGTGGCCGCAGTAACACGGCCCCCACCCTGTGTCCTTTCATGTAAGAACCCCGGGGTGACTCACCCCTCTGCTGTGCATATGTCCCAATTCCTGTCATCATTTCACTTCAGTAGAGATGCACTATGGTTGAAGAATTATTGGTGCCTGCCCTAGCAGAGCCCAAAGGGAAAGGAAAAATCAGAATAACTGTGTCTTCATTTAAAACGTTGACATTCTGTTCATCACGGATTGTTTTACATTGCTTTTGATTTTCCAAATATCACACTCACAGGTTGTTGGGGGTTTGGGCAGCTCAGAGGATGCTCTCCCCTCAGCACCGCGCAGGTCCCACCTTCTGGTGTAATTAGCCATCCCTCCATGGCCACCACTCACTTGTTGGGTGACGCAACCTGGCCATGAGAGGCTGTAATGATGTCACTCCTTATCAGCCCTCCCACAACCCCCAAGGACTTTAGTGACAGAGATGTCACTATGCCTCTCACCTCTGTACCTTCAGCACATGGTGAACACACAAGAATCTGACTCCAGAATGAGCGGGAGATGACTGAGCATGAGTCACCAGTGATGCTCTTGTCCAAGTTCCTGGTTAGTCTCCCAACACTCGGGTATTGTGCAGGATACACACAGAGGCACATTAGCCTCAGCCATTCTGTACTGATTGCCGGGGGTGTTCAGAGGGAGTGGCAGGAAGTTTAAAGGCCACAGGGTATCCCTAAAATTGTCCTCTGAGCTATTCACACGCAGTCTGCAGTTCATTTTGCCAAGGAATAGGATATCTTTGTTGGTCCCTAACAAGTAAAGCAACATAATTACTCTCTGTTGCTTGGTCCTCTGACAGCCTAATTTCCCCTCATCTCATATAAATCATAGGTATTACATGGTTTTCAGAAATATGTATTTTAAGCACCTTGTATGGGACACAGATGGAATTGTACAGAGGAAAATAAAACTACATACAGCAAACCCATAAAACAAAACTTCAGTGAGAAAATAATGCCTGTTCAGGCTACATCAGCATATCCTACTTGCTTACAAGTGAAAAATGTTCCTTAGTGGCCACTATCTTATTTTATGAAAGTTATTTCTTGGTAAAAATAAATGTCTAGATAAACATGTCACCTAAAAATGTGAAGTTATTTGCATGGAGGTTTAAAATCCCAGCCTTGATTTGGAAGGAAGCAACGAAAGTGTGGCAAGGACTCTGCCTTTTCTTTAAAGAGAATTATCAATCTTCCCAATTATTTTTTAGGGAAGAATATTGCCTTAAACTTGAGAATCGAAATGTTTTAAACTTTGAAATGAAGTGAATCCCCAGAAGGCATTCAATCAAATAATGTTCCCTTGCTATCAATGTGTATTATGAAAGGGAATGTTTTATTTGAATCGTTCACTTATGCTAACAAAATGCAATTGACTTTTATCTTTTATTTAACATGTCTTGGATATTAGCCATTGTTGAAGATAATATTAACTTACGTGATTCTTTATAAAGTGCGGAGAAAATTTTTTTTCATTGAAAAACCTCACACATGACCCATGATAAATCTCAAAAACTGATTGGAGAGATTAGAAGGTTTATGCTGCTGTTAGTCTTAGATTGACCCAAGCTGGGGCATTGTAGGATCAGACATCCACACGGCAACAATATTTTATTTATCAGCTCCTAGAAGTCGCATGTCCTAAGTTTGAAAAATACTAGTACCAATGAAGTCAGAGTATATATTAATAAGCCCACTTCTCTAGAGGTTACTGAGTATTTCAAGCACCATGGTCAGAGCTTAACCTATATTGACTATTTTGAGTATCATAACCACCCCCTAGTGGCCCCTGGCAGACAGCCAGGAGACCTCACTGCTCCTGGAGATCTTCAACCCAGGGGTAAAAATTTAATATATTCTTACAAAAAAACCCATGAATCTACGCAAAACAATATGTGTAAATCAACTGAATCATAACATCCCTAGCTATTTGATAAAAATAAACACCTTACTATCTAGAAATACCATATTTTCCAATGACTCTACAAATACACTGTTTATCTGGAGGAAAGTCGCCGGGCAGGAGGCAGGAGGTTGGTGGAGAATATGGGTGGGTTGAACCAACGTAAAGTACAACCAGACCAGTAGTGGAGTTTTTAAAATATAACAAAGGAAGAAAATATTGGGATGCAAATCTTTCAGGAGCTGCATTTTTATGCTCATTTATCAATTCTTAGTATTTTTGATGAAAAATAACAGAAAGATTATACATGGTTTTGGCCAAGTTCTCAGAGAGGCAATTACTATGTGTTTGATAGAGATGAGACCATGTCCTGGCCCACAGGGGGCTCACCCACCACAGGGACAGTCTGTCTGTGTCAGACACAGATACAGATGCTATTCTAGTGATGTCTGTCCTCCAGACCTGTGCCCACTGCTTGTGCAAGTCTGTCTCAGCCCTCAGCTGAGCAGGTGCATGGATGGTTGGTACATGTCTGCTCTCTTTGGAATTCTTGAGAGCCCCGAGAGAAAGGATATTACTTCTAGATCTGCTCAGGTACTTAGCTCTGCTCTGCAGATCCACAGTGGGTCTTCTACAAAGACTCAAGGACACAGTGCAAACTGGACCTCTCCTTCCAAATACTTGTCATCTCCTACAAAGTGACACCTTAGATAAGGGTTACATAGCAAAAAGTTGATGTTGTCCAAGACTTTTCTGGAATTATGATTCACACCAAAATAAGTATCTGTGAAATTTTTTAGCTTATACAATATTTGAAACCCAGAATATGATGGTTTGGTTTGAATAATCACTATTTTAACTAGAATTAAATTTTAGCTATTCCTTATACTAAATTTACCCTGAACAGAAAAAGGTTTTCTGTCATGATGATTACACAAAGAAAACGAACAAAAGAGCCCCACCCTACCCCCCAAAAAAACCAAAACTCCACTGCAGGTTCTAAGGGATCTCTGTAAAGAAGTTTCCAGGAAAAAAGTTATCTAAAATACTTTTTTCTGATGTGTTTGAATAAGAATAAACTTTTTCATGTGGTTTCCTGAAAGAAATGGCATCATTTCCATTAAGTTTGAAGTACAAGACAATCTCATTTTAATAGACCACAAATTTTCAAATATTTGCATTTCATACATTACAACTTAACATTGTTTGGAAGGTTTATGGTAAACTCAGTCATGTTTCTTTATAGTCAAACCTCAGATATCGTGGTAGCCCATGGGAGTGACTAAGATGAGGTGAGGTACCTGAACTGGTGTCCACCCTTCATTACGATTTAAGATGTCCCGAGAAGACAGAGGTTCCTGTTAGCTCCATTCCAAAGTTGAAAAGAAATCTGATGATAACATATCCTGGTTAAAACCTGGGTTCTGAAATCAGACGTAGTCAGAACAGCAATCTTGTTGTGCTAGTTACAAGATACATAACTTCAGGCAAATTTCTTGATATCTTCCAGATGGGCAGAGTCAAAGTACCAACCTTTCTAGGGTCATTACAAGAGTAAGCCATGTAATGAATTTATGTCAGTAAGTTAGCAATTAATAAACTGGAATACCACCAACCAATTAATAGCTGCAAATCAACCAAAGTCAATCTGATGCCCTCTACAATGCAAACATTAAATGGATGAACCTGCTCTCAGAGCCCCTGAGTACCAGAGGAGGATGTGCTTGGAAAAATGCTCTTCATTCCCAAGCAGTCCGCAGGCAAGAGGGAGCACTAAGCCTGAAAATAATCAAAGCACACTATGACTTATTGATATTATGTGCTATGATTAGGAGCAGAATTACACTCTGAAAACTTACTCTTCTTAGCAGAGCTGAGTAAAGCAGATTGGCTCTGATACTCTGGGGAGAAAGTGAGAACCCACAGAACTGACAGCCCTTATGCATTTAACAGCCACCTGTGGAGGGACCCTGACCAGCACGCAGGGCGTGATCCTGAGCCCTGGATTTCCAGGCTCTTACCCCAACAACCTAGACTGCACCTGGAGCATCTCTTTGCCCGTTGGTTACGGTGAGTGAAATGCTATTAATTCCTATATGTTCAACTCTTTCATTTATATCTTGGAAAGGATTAAGCTGAATTAAGAATGTGCCATGTTCTGTTGACACACAGAAGTGTATCTTTAATTGAAAGTGGCTTACAGATTTAAATAAAGCTTTACCAGAATAACTTTGAGGATGGAAAGTTATTTGAAAAAGCAGTTGAGCCATGCAACTCTTTTCGAGGCAAATTAACTTGGCTGGAGGATGATATAGTAGGCATAGGAAGTGTGAAATGTATCATCTCTAATTCAATTATCTATTTATTTATAATAATGCCTTTTCTAATCTGTTACTAGAATTCAATAGTGGTTACTGTTTATTCTTGGACAATTTTGTTGGCTTTTTTTCCAGGTTGTGACACATTTTAAATTGAATATGAAACATAAATATGAAAATATGGTATTATCCTATGAATTTTTATTATAAACTACATTGTTTACAGGTTTGTGAAGAGGGATTTTTGAACCTTTAGTTTATTAACTTTCAGGTTATTCACCTTAAATAACAGTCCTTAATTTTAATTATTTAGTACACTAAAACCTCATTTTCAGAAATGCGTGGTGTTTGTGGAACTTTGATTTCCGATCACGCCTTCCCGCTCTGCCTCCCAGCATCCTTTGTGTTTTAGTCATTTACGTGGGTTTCTCTACCTTTGATTTTCTCTAAAATGCTCAGTATTGGTGGACCGAGTTAGGCACTCAGTATGTGCCCTAGGGCAAAGTAACTGGGCTCTTGCTCACACACTGGATATTAACAATGAATGAACACAAGCATGAATGCAAATCAATGCAAGGGATGGTGTTTTATTAAGTTTCAAAGCGTTTGGCATCAAAATCTGTGCCCAGGATGCAGTTGCAATAGTGGGTGGTCAGGGCGCCTTGCTGTGTCCACAGGCAGAGGGCCCGGCAGCTTTGGGTCAGGTGCACGGACATGGAGGTTCTTCTGTTAGTGTAGAATGTTCTGCCTTGAGGGAGGAGCAGAGTGAAGAGCCCAAGGAGGGTGCCCATGTCTGCCCATCGGCCTGACGCGAGGGTGCCCATGTCTGCCCATCGGCCGGACGTGAGGGCGAGGAAGGGAGAGATTCTTCCCGAAGCGATAACAGCGGCCCTCTATTTCTATTTCTCTTTCTTCCACGATTTTTATGTTTTCTAAATCCTAAATCCTCTGAACTCAGAGACAGTAATTCAGCTGGTGCTAGAAGAAATGGAGGACTTTGAACAAATTTAATCAATACTGGAATTCTCCAAAGTGGGCCCACTTTGTCATCAGGGAGACCTGAATATTGGGACTTGTTGGTACCCGTCCTTGGAGTAAGGGGTAAGGGTCGAATCCAAGATATGTCAAGTCAGGATGTTTCCAGCATGGCCCAGTGAGCTTAAGGGTCACGGTCTGTGGCAAATCTTCATAGAAGTGAAGATGGGGGGCGGCCCCTGTGGCTCAAAGGGGTAGAGCACTGGCCCCATATGCTGGAGGTGGCGGGTTCAAACCCAGCCCTGGTCAAAATCTGCAAAAAAAAAAAAAAAAAAAAAAAAAAAGTTATAAAAAATAAAAATAAAAAAAAGTGAAGATGAGGGCTGACCGCCACCCCCAACCTGGGGCCAGGGGCCTTTCCTAGTGAGTGACGCTGCAGGGAACTTGGCCTCTGCACCTGTGTAACTGAAATCGCTCTATCAGGTTATGGAGAGGATTAACTAAAATAATCCAGGCCAGACATTTATGTAGTATGGAGATTGGTGTGTGGTAAACAATAAAAAGCAAAAGAAAACAAAAACCCACACTGAGCTATTGTTCGTACCATTATTCCAAATATTTCTCACTTTTCTTTCAGAAGTAATTAGAAACATTCTAGTCATGATTGGGCATTTTCTTTTTTTTTTTTAATTTATTTTTCTTACATATACATGTGTATATTAGGTTTCCACTTTTGCCTTCACAGAATTAAAAGGCTAAATTTAATGACAATAACAATATTTAACATAGGGACTGAGAACAAAAACCTCATAAAGAATAAAAGAAGATAAATACATTCAGAAAAGAAATCAGATGATTGCTGCAATGAAATATTAGGCAATAATAATAATAATAATGCAAAGAAAGTAACATTCCCATTGTCAGATAGGAGTATGTCTATTATAGAATACTTTGATCAGTTAACTTCTTCTTATTTTGTTTTTTCCAAAGTCTCAAAAAAAATAGACAACTAATATTTATAAGTAAAAGTAAAAGATAATTTCCAAAAAAACAGATCATGCCAAATCTTACAGACAATAGATAAAGAAATACTTCAAAATCATTCTACTTAATCTGGATACACCTGATATTAAAATTGGAGAAAATATATTATTATAAAAGGGAAATTACAAACATATTTCACTTATAAATGAGGATGCAATATGATAAACAACATATTTAAAAAAGAATAGAAAATAGTGACTAATTCTCATATAAATTGTACTTAATTTTGACCAAAGTACATTACTTAAACATTAATTTTTAATTGAACATGTTAATATGTTGTTTATCATATTGATTGGGCATTTCTTTAACTTGTTTGTCCAGCTTTCCTGTTCTCTAATTTCTGAGAAGAATATCATGTGGTATAGCCCCTAATGTTCACTAGCAAATCATATACAAGAGAATCATTCAGGAAAAAAAGTTACTAAAATTATCAGAATTCCTCATCAGGATTCTGAACCTAAACAAAGTATTTATTGAAAGAGAGATTGAAATGGAAAAAGAGTATAGAATATTACACTCAAAATTATGTAAATCTTTAAAATACTTTAAAGAAGATCTACAAGAAAAGGCAAAAGAAACTTTATCTCTTAAATCCGACATGCATATAAAACAGTGTGACCATCCTCAGTGCTTTAGAGTGTTTCAGAATGAAGGTGGCTGAGCTTCAGGATAGCTAATAATCTACACGCTATCGAATATAAACAGTGCACCAGGTTTGCCGGTGATAAATTTCATAACCTGTACTTCCAAATTCACACAAAGTTAGAAATTTGGAGGAAAGGCCGGTAAGTGGGACGATCCCTGATGTGGTGACCACTTGGAATGTTCAGAGCCTGGCATGCAGGTCTTTCTTGGGCTTAAGACATTTTATAGAGCATTTTGCAAAATCTGGGAAAAATTAACTACTTAGCTTTCAACCCTGCATCAGTTTCACAGTTGAAAACTCCTTTTTTTTTTTTTTGCAGTTTTTGGTCGGGGCTGGGTTTGAACCTGCCACCTCCGGCATATGGGGCTGGCACCCTACTCCTTCCAGCCATAGGCGCCACCCCACAGTTGAAAACTCTTATGTAAATTATATCTACGTGTCCATGGTCTTCTGTAACCTCATGCTCTTCTCCCATATAACAGCTGCTACCCTGTAACTTAGTCTCCCTTCTGCCCACATGGCTTTTAAAACCACTGTGGGTGTTGCTCTCAAATGCCAAACCATGTTTCAGCCGCCTGTGCACATTTTACCTAGGTCATCTGAGTCCCTTGTAAACGGTTCTGTTTGATCCCCATTGTATCCACAGCAGTCTACTATTCTCCTCTTTCCCTAAACGTTGCCACATTTTTGGTGGCAGTGACTTCCCAGAATCTCCCAAATCATAACCAACTGTCAGATCTCTCCCCTGGAAATTTTGAGAAAGTATGTTTGGGGTTGAAGCCCGAGAATCTGCCTTTATTATTAATTGAGCACTCGGAAGTTTCTTATAAAAAACTCTTAGTTATAATTTCTTTCTTTTGATCTCTCATATTGTTTTATGTGAATAGCCAAAGCTTTAGGGCATTTCTGGAACTTGTCCTGTGACAACAATGTAGGAAAAGGACCTGTGGGGAAAGCCTAGAAAGATTATGAAGGAAAAAAAATGCAATGAACAGGTTCCACGGACGTCAATGATGGGAAATAGCAACAGGGCCAGAGTGAGATTAGGCGGATAGTCTGGTGTCTCTGCTGATGTCAACAAGAGAAGTCTTCCTGGGGACACGTCTGCTGTTGGAGGATCTTGGTAATTAAGTGGGAAAATAAGAGTAGAAAGGTATTTCCTCCTTAATGCCTAGATAAGACACTTATGTGATTAATAACTATGGTGGATTTAATCAGCTCCTGCCAATGCAGGTTCAAATGGTGGGTCCCTGTTACTACCCCACTCCTCCTCTCCACTTCCCACCTGCATGTGTGTGGTCTGCAGGGTGGTCTCCCGCTAGCCCCTCTGTGTTCTGAGTGTGGGGAACAATATTCAAAAATGTTATCTTTGCAGTATCACTGGAAATTTTATCAAGAAACAAACATTATAGGAAACTTGCTGACTTAAGACCCAAAGCAAATGTCAGGTGTACTGTGAATTTTATCTTCTTAAACTTGGAACACTGTGTAACAGGAAAACAATGGCTTAGAGGAGTGGATCTCAGACGGTACTGTGTACAGGAAGCAGCAGTGGCGGTCAAGGGGGGCGGAGTCCAGTGCCTCTGCCCTGGGGGCCCTGGTTGGAAGGCACAAAGAATGACTCATTTTCACAAAGTAGCCCCAGTTCACTGGAAGCCAGGGTTGCACTAAGTCAGGAAATGTTTCTCATCACTTTTAATCTAAATAAGGAGATTCTCCTAAGATTTTATAAACATTGCTTATTTAGGATAAATTGCTTTGCTGCCAAAAATGTGAGATTTGGGGAAGTTGTCAGTACAGATAGAATATTATTGACCAAAAGCCAACATGGCAAGTCAAAAGTTTGAAGTAAATTATAAAAATGAAGCTCCTGCTATTCTTTCAGAGTGATCTTACAGGCATGTCCTGGGCTCCAGATGTCACCTGTAGGGTCTGAGCACATATTCCTGGTCCTTGGGTGTCAGTTTTGGAATTGGGTTTCTCAGGGCTCATCTGTTGTAATGCCAAGCACAGATAACTTCAGCCTCCCCAGTTTCCCTGAATAAAAACACTTGTCCAGAATATGAGGTATTGTTAACTTTTCA